GATGGTCAGGAATCAGACATTGACCAAGCCCTCAGAAAAAAAAAAAGCTGTGCATCATGGTGCTACTGGATCAGGCACGGAAATAACACAAGAACTGTCCCAATAATCCACACAATGCACCTAGTACATCTAAAAAGGTGTCTCTAGTTGAGTAAGTGCCATGGACAGAGGGAACCAAGTTAATTGAGGGGTTGAGTATGTGATGGTGGGGGTTGTTTCTTTATCAGAGTTTTCACTGACAGGCTTAGATCCTCGATAGGGGGACAGAGTAGATATTTGTGACTGTGGAAGAGCCACAAAGAGATTGCCTGCTGATCCCAGTATAGGAATGCCAAATAAAGAAAAGAGGTACAAAAAACAACAAAAAGCTCATTGAGGTTTAGGAAAGGGTAGTTTTTTGCCATTGGCTCAAAAGGGAGTGTAGAGCTGACACGGTTAGGTAAGTGAATGAAGCTCCCTCTTCTAACCCCCCTAGACGGAAGGGGGGGGAAAGGGGGGGAGACTCTTTCAGAAGGCGTAGACTCACATGCCAAGCTACAAGTAGTGCCAAAGTGTGTGTTTGCCCCAGAGACAGTAGATCCTGACAGTGATTGTGTTACTGACGGCGTACGCACCTTGTCAAGGGACATAGTAGATATGAATTCCACCTGACAGGAGGGGAAGACGGAACAATGAGGTACTTATAAGATGGACTGAGACCTCCCTTGAAAACAAAGATGATGGGCGTATAAAAGTGAAAATTGACAACATGCCCCATACCAAGTTGATGCAATGAAGGGACAGGCACTGCTTTTAGAGCCAGTGCTAAAGCTGTTAGGTTTCACAAAATATCATACTTGATTTTAGAAAGCGCTGCGGGGGTGGATGCTCTGTAAGACCACACCACAACTGGCTCAGGATATGCCTCAATTGATGCTGTCTTGACTAAGATGGGAGGTGGCTATCCACGCATGTCACTAGATGGGTGGGGTGCGACAAGAGATACGTGCCTTTGCCACCATGTTCCAGGTTGACATTTGTGTGTCAACAACTCGTGGAGGGAGAAGGTGGAATTATTACCCACCACTCTTTATGATGAAAGAACTGCAGGAGGAAGTCAGATTACAAGTTGTACTGTATCACTCTGATATGAAAACACTCGACCTTGTCATACCGGCACACTACATATTGAGCTGCATGGTCATAACGGTTATGACAATTTATTCATCAGTGGCAGGCCTCATTGAGGCCAGAAGCAGGTGTTGAGGGCAGCCGAGAGTCGGGGAGGCCTTTGCCAAAGTAAGGTCAATGTCCTTACTGCTGTTCCTTCCCCCTACACAAAAAGAGACAGAACGAGAAAGGGAGGAAAAGGAACAAGAAAAACAGGACAAAAGAAACGGAAAAAACCAAAACAAAGAGGAAACAAAAAAAAAAAAGGAAATATAAGGGGGGGCCAGAAAAAGGAAAAAAAAAAAAAAAGACAACCAAGAAAAACAATGATCTGGACACAGAAAAAGTAAAAGGAACGACAAAACACGACACAAAGAAAGAAAACAAAAAGAAGACATCGGAGAAACAAAAGCGAAAAAAAAAAGAAAAGAAAGAGGAAAAGATATCAAAAAAAAACAAACAAAAAAAAAAAAAAAAGGAAAAAAGGTAACAAGACAGAAAAAAGACCAAAAAAAAACCAAACAGGAAAGAAAAGCACAAGAAAAATAAAAAGAAGAACACAAGCAAAAAAGGAAAAATGGAAAACACGCTAGTAAAAAGAAAAGAGGAGAACAAAACCAAAACCAGTGCAGAAAACACAAACAAGGACAGGGACGGAAGGACAAAAAAACAAAAAAGGAAAGAAAACAAAAAAAAAAAACACGGCACAAAGGGAAAATGAAAAAAAAGGACACAATAAGAAAAGCCAAAAATAAACCAAACAAACAGGCAAAAAACCCAACCCCCAAAGAAAAACTAACGAAAGAAGCGGGAGTAACACAAATAGAAAAAAAAAAGCGAAAAAATTACCGTAAGGAAAAGGAACACAACGGAATAAACAGGGAAAAGCACAGCAACAGAGCCCCCCCAGCACAAGGGACAGAAAAGAACAAAAAAAGACACACAAAAACAAAAAGGAAAGTAAAACATGGGAAAAAAAAAAGAAAGAAAAAAAACCCCACAGACACACAGACACAATAACGTGGTGGTTGTAGTCACAAACAAATCCCTATACTCTGCTCACCAACCCCGCTCACGACCACACACCATTCCCCCCAATCAACCTACTAAAACACGAACCACAAACCCCACTCCACACCACAATCCCGGCCACCACCCACTCCAATCCAATCTGGCAGGTCCAAATGGGACCAGAGTGGTTCTTGTGAGGCAGCGAGCAGTCTGTTGAGGCTGCCAGACACAGCAGTTTATTTAGAGGCTAAAACATTTTTGGGTGAGCATATTTCCCGGCGTCCACGTCGCCTCACCTGGGAGAGAATAATTATTCAATTCTCTGCTAACGGGGAAATTGATTACTAGAAAGGTGTAATGCTGTTTATTTCTGCAGCATCTCCCTTTCTATCCAGTGGGGCCAGCTGAAGAGTCCTCCCACTATAAACATAATGGACGAAAACCATCTGTGGAGGAAGCCTTCCACCGATGGTTCCTGGCTCCACAACATCATGTTTCTCTGTCTCGTGTGATTGTAACTTCAGTGAGGACGAACCACACCATATCTCGAAAAGACAATATTATTACAAAACTAGGCAGCTCCTGCCAGGAGCAATGTCCTCTTTCAAGAAGTGTGTGTGATATACAAACTCGGTGACAGTACGTCATTTTCTCTTACCATATGTCTAGCCTAATACTCTGTTACATTGATCAGGGTATGAAATTGTAGAACCACGTATAATATATACTGCATACCACCAGGCTGTACAGAGAATGTGGCATTTGTTGCTAGCTGTTATGTGCTAGCCTAACAGAACGGTTCGTGGCAAGGGACCGCGGCCCAACACACAACAACTAACCGAACGCTTCACACTCAATCATCTGCACACAGACGGTAGAGACATACACTTATATATGCACAGGAAGTAAACAATTGACTACGTATGTGACGTGACCAACAATGAATAATGCAACGATAAAGAGTTCAGGTTACCACACTAGCCTACATTAGAGGAGGAAGTTTCCAGTGGTGGTAGAGCATGGCCGATGCGCCAAAAAGAAAAGCATATTTTTCCACAAAGTAGGTAGCTACTAGCTACATCTATACATCAAGGACAGGAAGCATGACTGGTGACAGAGACAGAGTGACATGCAATAAAGGATGTTGAAGAGGAGTAGGTGGAACCAAAAGGCGGGCATTGCATAGGTGGCCCTTAGTGATAGTACAACAGAGTGTGGGCAGAAAGGATATGAGAGGAACACAGTGGAATAACTCAAAAGTTGAAATCAGACTAACATCTGAGCCAGTTATTCAGTAAGGTGAAGGACTTAGCAGACATACATTGAAATGAGGATGTACAGCAGAGGAACATTATAATTAGTGTTTGAGAGAGAGTGTGTGTGTGTGTGTGTGTACATTCTATGTTATAGAGATTTGTCACAGAGAAGGGTGAATGAGTGAGTTACAGTGAGGTAGTGAGCTAACTACGTTGTGTGAGCTAGCAAACGTGGTAGGTGTGCTGATAGTCCGAGCATCGCCCACTCAGCGCGCACTGATACTCAGGTGAAGACAGACAAGCAGATTGGTTTGCTCGGCCAGGTCTACAGCAAAGGTCAAAGGTCGTATACCAGACGGCGCCTAGGCGAGCGGCATACGCGCATGCGCGTATATACATAGACGGCGCATTTTTGTGAAAGGGTTCAACCGAACGGACCCTGTACGCCGTCAACTCGCTGAGGCAGTATATAGCCAGGAAATTTCCTGCACATTACTATTTTTTTGGCAATTACTTCGGCACTTAGGCTTCTTATTTTCATTTTTGTTGAGAGCATGTTTCACAAGGCCTCTCTCTCTCCCTGTGCTTGCTGAACTCTCTCTTGCTTACTATGTCAACCCACTGACAGCCTTTTCAGATCCCATTCCCACCTTGTCATGCACTTTGCATATAAGATATGATAAATGCTAGTTTAATGGTAACCATTGTTGGCGAGCGGGAGCGATCCAACCAAGAAATGTGTATACAGGTGTTGAAAGTAGTTCAAAGTTTGATTGGACGAATTGGCTGGTGAAGTTGAGGTTGAAGTGGCAGTATACTTGCCTGCTGCATGTGACTTTGACGGTCACGCTGACGTCTTAACTTCAGTCTCTTGTGGAGTCTCTGAGGCAATCCGTTGTTGTTTGTTAAGTCGTACCAGCTGTAGGCGGGCCTCTCTCTCCCCGCTGGCCTCAGCAGCAATTCTCTGTTCTTGATTCCTGCGTCGTAAGTACCTGTTGCAGGCGGGCCTCTCTCTCCCCGCTGAACTCGGCAGCAATTCGTCTTGCCTGGTAGTTTCGGAGCTGAGTGAGCCTGGCCTGTTCCGTTTCCCCTGATTCTGCAGCGCGTCTATATAGCTCTATCTTGTACACGACGTCTCGCTAGTCGTGCTTCCCTTTCTTCCGCTGTTTCGGCGGCGAGGCGTTCCCTTGGCCGTTCCCTATCACGCAGTCGGCGTTGAGAAAGCCGAGCCTCTCTCTGCTCCGGAGTCTCACGCAGTCGGCGTTGAGAAAGCCGAGCCTCTCTCTGCTCAGGAGTCTCACGGGCGCGACGTTCTGTTTGTTGAGAAAGCCGAGCCTCTCTCTGCTCAGGAGTCTCACGGGCACGACGTTGTCTTTCCCTCTCTCTTCGACGACGAAGGGCATCCTCTGTAGACTGACGATCCATGGTTGCCACAGTTAGTTGTGAAATGAAGTCGCGCATGCGCACTTACACGACGTACCACGGTCGGTCGTATATAAATAAATAAATAAATAGAGAAATCGGCCCGTTGCGACGACTAGGTTGGCTCGCTCCCGCTCGCCAATTATCATTTGGGTTGAAGTAAATGCCACACACACACACCATACCCACTAGATGATTCTCCCTCTTTGGGGGGAGGGGATGGAGAGGGGGGGTTGGGAGTTGGAGTAGCACCTGCATAGTAAAGGTGTTATCATTTGTTTTGAAGTAAATATGACATAGCTACCTGTGATTTGCATCGTTCTCAGGGCTTCTTCAAGACCCACCAACTCCCAATCTTGCATTTGTTTTGCAATTACCCTCGCCCTCTCCATCTCACCATCCCTCAAGCACCTCTCCAGTTCCTGCATAAGTAGAATTATTTATAAAACCTTGTTACTAACATCCTTCAGTAGCAATTACTTCTCTTCTTCTTCTTCTTTGTCTTTGTTTTCTCTTCCTGTGGTTCTCCTCTTCTCTATCTTTTTTTACAAAATAGTCCATAAGATAACCTGTAAGTTATGCTCAAAATAATTGCTTGGTAGCTATAGCGAAACCTTCACGCCTTTCCCAACCCCCATGACTGAGCACGTAATATGCAGCGGTAAACGACTCTCAAGCGTCACCCTTCGGGTAAGGACTGGAGTCGCGTGTAGTTCGTAGATAGCATTGAGATCGAAGCAAACCGAGGCCGGTATAGTTAATAGCCGAGGAGGATTTCCTGTACGCGCCAAGATGCCTGACGTTAACTGATTTGTAGTCCAACTAGCCAATCACAATGCTGAATTTCTGCTGTGTCATCCTGCACTAATTACTAATGGATTGTTTTTAGTAAACTTTGGAAGCCAGACAATTTGCACTATGCCTAGCGCTAGATGTTGTGATAAGGACTTCCTGTCCAATACTGATACAGGTGCAGCCGAAGCCCACAGCCCATAATACAGCTTGTATTCCTAGCACCGGGTTGTTTGAAGTTGGACTACAATGAGTATTAATCTACATAGCTCCTATGTACACACACAATCTATCTTAGGTGAGTTGGCAAGGATACTGTGTCTATGACAACCAACTATAGCATTGTGTTTGTTTCACAATTCAGACTCCGACGCTATAAGTATGCACTTGTGCGCAGTAGTAACATGAACTGCCAGAAGGACTTTTCCCAATGGATAAGTACAACCTACATACACATACACACACACACAATTTCTTGTAGGCATGTGAAGTTAAGAAAAGTCAAAGGAAACCATGCCAAATAGACTGTAGTACGTATGTAGGAGAATCAGTTTAATGCTAACATCCAGTTGTAAAGCCCAGACTCCTCAAAGGCAGCAGAGTGAACAATTATGTGTTCCAGTGTAAGGCTACACACACACTAGGCAACAGTCAATGTAACGTATGAGAAGATGGCAGACCTCTCCTCCAGGCACGACCATCCGATGGGCAATCTCAGAGGCCAGGTAGGCCGCCTTTATCACATCTGCCTTCCTGTCAGTCACGGGAGACTCCTGCTCCAGTACCAGAGATGGTGGCAAAGTAAACAGAGTACAATAACAAGGAAACAACATTACACTAATCTAAAGAATCAGGCAGCAGTTTAGACAATGTAGCCACTGCACATACCGTGATGCTCTAATACACGTGAAAAATTAACGTCATTCTGAATACACGTGAAAAATCAAACTGCTCACACTCGCTCGCCTACTAAGCACGTCAATTGTCATTTTTGTCCTCATCCGATGCACCGAAAGTCAGTCGATTTAATGCTCAGTGTAAATGTACTATAGTCGTATGTACATACCTTTGTTGATCCTACAACAGCAGTGCTTCCAACTACTGCAATGAAGCCGTCCACATGGTACCCCCAGCTTTCTGGAGGAAAGAGATAGGATAGGCTCTATTTGAAACACATCTGCTTGGCTGCAAACACGTCACAATTTAAGTGTATTGGGGAGAGTGAACCACACGTGATACACCGATACTCTAATCGACACTATATACGTGTACTTCTGAATCAGTTACAGCGTAAGAAGGTAATAGAACGGGGTGAAGGGAAGAGTGGAGACCGTGGGCGGGAGAGGAAAGAGGACAGACGGAAAAAGATGTGCAGCGTCCTCCTACAACCCTATTTCTCTCTTTGCACAACATGAGCCAACTACACAAATATAGGTTACACTATGCCCACGAGACGGTTTAGTGGACATACACTACGAGTGCGCAGCATATACTAATGAGTTGTCTTAGTGCGCATACACTGTGTGCGGTGCCTTTGATTTCTAGGGCTTCTGTGGTACAAAGAAGGAAAATGCAAGAGAGGAGAGTGTGCTCGGAATGCCACAGTTCCCTCGGCCTCGGCTCATAAGAGTAGCCATCTATTTTTAGGTTGTGGCATGCGTAAAACATGAGAAAAATGTTGCAAAGTGTATGCGCGTTGGCCCTGGAAGTAAACACCATAAAATAGCGTTCTCCTCTTAGACCAATCACATTTGCGTATTTAACCCTTTGGATTCCATGCATATCTTCTTCAATAAGCAGAAATTGATGTATATGACCAATCACATCTGTGCATTTACATACAAAACCACCGCACTGTAAGGCTTGGACAGAGGAAGTAAATGATATGGTGAAGAGAAAGAGAGAGAGAGAGGGATGCCATGGATATCTTCTTCTTCAATAAGCAGAAATTGATGTATAACATATGATAGCCCTATATATTATTCTTATGGACTTGGTGGAATAACTCAAAAGGTGAAATCAGACTAACATGCAGTACATCTGAGCCAGTTATTCAGTAAGGTGAAGGACTTAGCAGACATACATTGAAATGAGGATGTACAGCAGAGGAACATTATAATTAGTGTTTGAGAGAGTGTGTGTGTGTGTACATTCTATGTTATAGAGATTTGTCACAGAGAAGGGTGAATGAGTGAGTTACAGTGAGGTAGTGAGCTAACTACGTTGTGTGAGCTAGCAAACGTGGTAGGTGTGCTGATAGTCCGAGCATCGCCCACTCAGCGCGCACTGATACTCAGGTGAAGACAGACAAGCAGATTGGTTTGCTCGGCCAGGTCTACAGCAAAGGTCAAAGGTCGTATACCAGACGGCGCCTAGGCGAGCGGCATACGCGCATGCGCGTATATACATAGACGGCGTACTTATTTATCCATTTTTGTGAAAGGGTTCAACCGAACGGACCCTGTACGCCGGCAACTCGCTGAGGCAGTATATAGCCAGGAAATTTCCTGCACATTACTATTTTTTTGCCAATTACTTCGGCACTTAGGCTTCTTATTTTCATTTTTGTTGAGGCATGTTTCACAAGGCCTCTCTCTCTCCCTGTGCTTGCTGAACTCTCTCTTGCTTACTATGTCAACCCACTGACAGCCTTTTCAGATCCCATTCCCACCTTGTCATGCACTTTGCATATAAGATATGATAAATGCTAGTTTAATGGTAACCATTGTTGGCGAGCGGGAGCGATCCAACCAAGAAATGTGTATACAGGTGTTGAAAGTAGTTCAAAGTTTGATTGGACGAATTGGCTGGTGAAGTTGAGGTTGAAGTGGCAGTATACTTGCCTGCTGCATGTGACTTTGACGGTCACGTCTGACGTCTTAACTCAGTCTCTTGTGGAGTCTCTGAGGCAATCCGTTGTTGTTTTAAGTCGACCAGCTGTAGAGGGCCTCTCTCTCCCCGCTGGCCCAGCAGCAATTCGTCTGTTCTTGATTTCCTGCGTCGTAAGTACCTGTTGCAGGCGGGCCTCTCTCTCCCCGCTGAACTCGGCAGCAATTCGTCTTGCCTGTAGTTCGAGCTGAGTGAGCTGGCCTGTCCGTTTCCCCTGATTCTGCAGCGCGTCTATATAGCTCTATCTTGTACACGGAGCGTCTCGCTAGTCGTGCTTCCCTTCTTCCGCTGTTTTCGGCGGCGAGGCGTTCCTTGGCCGTTCCCTATCACGCAGCAGTCGGCGTTGAGAAAGCGCGAGCCTCTCTCTGCTCGGAGTCTCACGCAGTCGGCGTTGAGAAAGCCGAGCCTCTCTCTGCTCAGGAGTCTCACGGGCGCGACGTTCTGTTTGTTGAGGAAGCCGAGCCTCTCTCTGCTCAGGAGTCTCACGGGCACGACGTGTTCTTTCCCCTCTCTTCGACGACGAAGGGCATCCTCTGTAGACTGACGATCCATGTTGCCACAGTTATAGTTGTGAAATGAAGTCGCGCATGCGCACTTACACGACGTACCACGGTCGGTCGTATATAAATAAATAAATAAATAGAGAAATCGGCCCGTTGCGACGACTAGGTTGCTTCGCTCCCGCTCGCCAATTATCATTTGGTTGAAGTAATGCCACACACACACACACCATACCCACTAGATGATTCTCCCTCTTTGGGGGAGGGGATGGAGAGGGGGGTGGGAGTTGAGTAGCACCTGATAGTAAAGGTGTATCATTTGTTTTGAAGTAATATGACATAGCTACCTGTGATTTGCATCGTTCTCAGGGCTTCTTCAAGACCCACCAACTCCCAATCTTGCATTTGTTTTGCAATTACCCTCGCCCTCTCCATCTCACACATCCCTCAAGCACCTCTCCAGTTCCTGCATAAGTAGAATATTTATAAAACCCTTGTACTAACATCCTTCAGTAGCAATTACTTCTCTTCTTCTTCTCTTTGTCTTTGTTTTCTCTTCCTGTGGTTCTCCTCTTCTCTATCTTTTTTTACAAAATAGTCCATAGATAACCTGTAAGTTATGCTCAAAATAATGCTTGGTAGCTATAGCGAAACCTTCACGCCTTTCCAACCCCCATGACTGAGCACGTAATATGCAGCGGTAAACGACTCTCAGCGTCACCCTTCGGGTAAGTACTGGAGTCGCGTGTAGTTCGTAGATAGCATTGAGATCGAAGCAAACCGAGGCCGGTATAGTTAATAGCCGAGGAGGATTACCTGTACGCGCCAAGATGCCTGACGTTAACTGATTTGTAGTCCAACTAGCCAATCACAATGCTGAATTTCTGCTGTGTCATCCTGCACTACTTACTAATGGATTGTTTTTAGTAAACTTTGGAAGCCAGACAATTTGCACTATGCCTAGCGCTAGATGTTGTGATAAGGACTTCTGTCCAATACTGATACAGGTGCAGCCGAAGCCCACAGCCCATAATACAGCTTGTATTCCTAGCACCGGGTTGTTTGAAGTTGGACTACAATGAGTATTAATCTACATAGCTCCTATGTACATACACAATCTATCTTAGGTGAGTTGGCAAGGATACTGTGTGCTATGACAACCAACTATAGGACTGTGTTTGTTTCGCAATTCAGACTCCGACGCTATAAGTATGCACTTGTGCGCAGTAGTAACATGAACTGCCAGAAGGACTTTTCCCAATGGATAAGTACAACCTAGATACACATACACACATACACAATTTCTTGTAGGCATGTGAAGTTCAAAGGAAACCATGCCAAATAGACTGTAGTACGTATGTAGGAGAATAAATTTAACGCTAACATCCAATTGTAAAGCCCAGACACCTAAATGGCAGTAGAGTGAACAATCATGTGTTCCAGTGTAACACTAGGCAACAGTCAATGAGAAGATGGCAGACCTCTCCTCCAGGCACGACCATCCGATGGGCGATCTCGGAGGCCAGGTAGGCCGCCTTTATCACATCTGCCTTCCTGTCAGTCACGGGAGACTCCTGCTCCAGTACCAGAGGTGGTGGCGAAGTAAACACAGTACAATAACAAGGAAACAAACTATACACTAATCTAAAGAATTAGGCAGCAGTTAGACAATGTGGGCATTGGGCACTGCACATACAGTAATGCTCTAATACACACGAAAAAATGAACATCATTCTGAATACGCGCTAAAAATCGAACTGCTCACACTCGCCCGCCTAGTAAGAATGTCAATTGTCATTTGGTCCTCATCCAATGCACATGAAAGCCAGTCGATTTATGGGAGGGAGAGGAAAGACGACAGACGGAAAAAGATGTGCAGTGTCCTCCTAATGACCAGTGTAAATGTACCATAGTATATACCTACACATACATACACAGGGTTCTGCCTACGTTGGTCGGCGGTGGTCGCATGCCGTATGAACCCGACCACCGCTGAAAGTCTCCCGACCACTCCTAAATAAAAGGCGGGGCTGGTGCGTATAGTACGCATCTAGCGACGAATGAATATCTGCAATGGAAACGTGGCCTCCCTGCGGCTCTAAAATGACACTTGGCTTTCTAACACACGAAGAACGAATCTGGGCTTCGTATGCGTGCCTACACTAAGTATAAACATGCAAACAAAAGGCATGCGCGAACGCGAAAAAACCACGCGTACGCGTTAATTCTGCGCATGCGCATTTACGCGCGCAATTATTTCTATGACTGTTTACCTAATGGCCACCACTAAAATAATCCTGGGCAGAACCCTATATACACGTCGTATGTACATACCTTTGTGGCTCCTACAACAGCAGTGTGTCCAACCACTGCAATGAAGCCGTCCACATGTACCCCCATCTCTCTGGAGGACACAGATAGGATAGTGGGCTCTATTTAAAACACATCCTTGGCTGCACAATTTAAGTCTATTGTGGAGAGTGAATCACACATGATTTACCAATATTCTAATCGACATTACAACACTGTACTTTTGAGTCAGTGACAACGTCATTAGGTAATAAAACAGGGTGAGGGAAAGAGTGGAGACCGTGGGAGGGAGAGGAAAGACGACAGACGGAAAAAGATGTGCAGTGTCCTCCTACAACCCTATTTCTCTCTTTGTACAACATGAGCCAACTACACACACACAAGGAATGCAAGAGAGGAGAGCGTGCTCGGAATGCCACAGCCTCCTCGGCCTCGGCCTCCAAGAGTAGCCATCTATTGTGGCATGCGTAAAACATGAGAAAAATTTTGCAAAGTGTATGCGCGTTGGCCCTGGAAGTAAACACCATGAAATAGCGTTCCTCGATTGTTTATTAATAATGTTCCTCCTACAGTGTAAACTAGCTTTCTCATATTAACATTTGTGCATTTACCACCGCACTGTAAGGCTTGGACAGAGGGAGTAAAATGATATGGTGAATCAGAGAGAGGGAGTGACCCTACATCTTGAAGAGGTCTCCGGCAGTGAGGCAGACTGGAGGGTCAGACTTGAGGGGGCTGAAGTGACACACGCAGTTGTTGATAGACACACAGGTGGGGAACGCTATACCTGCAGGGGTATGTGCAACAGCAAGGTGAACAAGTTGGTCAAATCAAACACGCCAGTTTCATCCTTTAGATTAAGCAAACATAAATGTATACAAAAAGCAGTAAAGTGAAAGCCCTCGGTGCACTAACAAGAAATGTCGAACATGTACGTACGTGCGGTACTGGTGATTGACAGGCAGGGCTATGGTGCAACGACCTAGCTCGCTAAGAGTCTGCTACGGGCTACAGCATGCGGGACTCGATACACGCCCTCGGTTGTGACTTATTAATCCTACAAAGTACATACACAGAGCAAGCGGATCAGGTCGAGGTAACTCAGTGCGATTGCATATTACCCAAATAAGATAGGTCTACAACACATGTATAAAAGAGATATAAAACATGTTCAATATTATTGTACAGTATTATATGTACGTACAAAAGCTTAGTACTTCGATACTGTGATAAGATTTGATGACACACCACAGGAAACCTTACCTTTCTTCATATCTTTCTCTTTCTTGTAGACCTTCCCAGTCTCCTCCAGAATGAGACTATCTCCCATCTCACATAGATTGAGGACACTAGCACCTTCTACTGCTGCCTCCAACACTGACTTCAGCACTCCTGGACACCACCGATGGAGAGAGGGAGGACAGGAGGGGAAGGAAGGGAGGGAGAAAGAGAGGGGAGAGAAATAAATTCGGGAGGGAAAGAAGGATGGCAGGAAAGAGAGGAGAGAGGAGAGGAAGAAGGAGAGGGATGAAGAAAGGAAGGAGGACAGGGAGAAGAGTAAAGAGGAAGAAGCATAGAACATTAGGTAAAACTACAGTAAATAGTGGGGGTGAGTGAGGAAATACAGCAACATGAAACTGAAAGAACAAAAACTACCGTCGGAAAAAACAGTGTCCGAGTACGCAATCGACCACCCCCGCTACAGTGTAGTGTGCTCTAATTAGAGTGAGAGCGGGGATTCTGCGAGTATAACTACACGTACGGTTGGCCATGTCTCCGGCCATCTTGTATTTTGTGACGACCACGTCCTCGGCGATGGTCGGCTCCTCGTCAGAGGACTCTCCTCGCTCCGCCATCCTCAAGCTCACAGCACCCAGCAGCACCACGGTATATAATACACACACGTGTACGTGTGCTGTCGCGCATGCGTAGTCTACGTGTGGACATCATGAAGCATCATGCCTCTGGCGCGACGTTATACACTTATTCTAAGTCCAGACCCTCACGCATTGGTCGTAGAACTGGAAACCCTCGCATTCATGCATAATCGATCACGCATCCACGCGAAAGCCGGCTATTGCGGTCTATATGCGAGCATTCGAGCCGGGCGGGGCATACGTTTCCTCAGGTGGAAATGCCAGGATAGCAGCCAGAGAGGCATGAGAAATAGGAAGGCAAAAGAAACTGTAGAAATTACCTTGGGACTCCTACTGACCCTGGACTTGAACCTATATTATGCTTGAGAAATATTATTATTATTAATTTCTGAGAACATGAATGACGACACCACTAACAGTTGCACATTACAGGCACACAGAAGTGAAATTGCTTCTTGCTGGCTGTTTCTGTAGCCGGCTATAACCCAGATTTTTCATGTGTGCCGGCGGCAGTATTAGCTAAAGGCCTTAGAGCACTGTGGCGAATGACTACTGTCTTGAGGGAGTGTATATACAGTTATCTGTAGGATAGACCGAGAAATCAATAGAAAAATCAATTTTGAATTCCATAGAAATCTGGACATCACTGGATAATCACGCGGAAAATTCAAATCTGGAAATCTCTTTAAATCACAGATATCTGATAATATTAGTTGAAATCACGTGGAAATCCGGTAATCAGTAAGAAATGAATCTGGTTATGCGCAGGACCTTTAACTTTTTCAATCGTAGAAAAGGGACCGCAAACAACGCATGGGGAGCACGTCTCGGGATTCTTCTCCCCACTCTCCTGTTCTCTCGCCTCCTCCCTTCTTCCCATTCTCCCCTGTTCTCTGTTCTCCACATTCTCTTGTTCTCTCTCCTCTCTTCTCTTCTCCCCACTCTCCCCTTGTTCTCTACATTCTCTTGTTCTCTCACTCCTCTTCTCTTCTTTTCTCTCCACTCTCTCCGGTTCTACATTCTCTTGTTCTCTATCACCAATGTACTGAAGTCTGAAGTATGCGGCGAGGGCGTAAAGCGCCCTACGCGCCTCTGACACCCCAAGGTCAAGGCCCGACCCTGATGGACTTACACGCTTTGTTTTGTGCAAAACCGGGAGCGTTGTATTAAAGTCGTGTGCGCATTGCCAGGCGTATATAGCCAAACCACACCTTCTTACAGAAGCCGAGAAGGGCCATTCCATACTTACGTTATACACTAACTTCCATTCTTCCATCCCATATACATTCTTCTATCCTTCCATACTGTGCAGAGCATGCGCATGTGCTGACGTTAGGGTTGAGTCCATTATGCTAACTTTTTTACCCATTATTCTATTCCGCAATTCTCGTAAATCTTTCCTATTATTCCTCCTCGCTGCCCCTATTATTCCCTTCGAGCTGGCATGCGCTAAACCCTTGCGTAAAAAGGGGGGCGTGTAGAACGAAAATTGCCGAGTCTGCACTTTTGTTCGCGCGGTTTTGCTGTCTCTAGCCTTCCCGTGGAGTGATGCCCTTCATTTTCGCTCTTTTTGCAGTGAAGATATCCAGGGTAAGTTCTCCATCTTTACGTAAAACCGCGGAAGGGCAGAAGGGCAGAAGCTCCGGCAAAAGATCGCGCAAACGCCTACACATTGCAATTCCGACCTATTATTCCCAGAATTATGCTTTTTCTGGGCAGCCCCTATTATTCCAAAAATTATGCCAGCATATTGGGCGCCAGTCTAGCTGACGTAACCATTGCACATGCACCCTCCTGTGATTACCCATTCACCCAGCAAATGTCCCCTGTGCAATACAGCTGATCTGGACAAACCAACCCTAGCCGAACATGTCGTCACCAACCACAGAAAAAGTGATAACTTTTGGAGCACTCTATTTGACTCTTTGACTTTATACCGTGCATGGACCCACCTTCTTCAGTCATGTTAAACTATTGTCATTAAAACCCTTTGGGCGCAATTTACATATAATTATATATGCACAGAGCCTCCATAAGTGCATAAAAATTTATATATGGCTATAATACTAGGCGCTAATATGTTATACATCAATTTCTGCTTATTTAAGGAGACACCTATGGCGCCCAAAGGGTTAACTCTGTCCGTATACATGCCAGGGCAGGCCCATTCAACATACATGAACTCTTAACTTTTTTCATGGAATGGCAACTGTCGGATGTTTCCGGTAGGCAAACGCAGGGCATTTTTGGTGAGCGGGAGCGAGCACACATCTGCACGAGCCATCCTAGCCTAGTTACAACTTGCACCTTCAACAACCAGTAACCGATGGAGCAACTGTCTCACAAGACAGCAAACCGGGAGGAGGGGGCAAGGTTGGACGTTGTGGCTGAGAGTTTCTGGGGACGGGATCAGCAATGTGCATTATTTGATGCACGGGTTTTCAATCCTTTCGCACAAAGCTACCGCAACTCCTGCCTTTCCCAATGCTGCCGTCGCAATGAAATGGAGAAAAGAAGACAATAATATGATGAGAGGGTGTGCGAGGTGGAACATGGATCTTCTCTCCATTGGTTTTCTCAACATGTGAGGGATGGGAAATACTGCCACTGTGGTGTATATACAAGAGGATTGTTGCAATATTGGCCGAGAAAACAACAAGCCCTATTGTAGGGTTATGCATTGCCCTGCTACGATCTTCAATCATGTGCCTTCGTGGATCAAGATCCGCCCTCCATCGCCCTGCTCACTCTACCGCCTTGGCTGACAACATGGATCTGGCAGGTGACTGAGGGGTGGGTCCCTCACCTCATTTGATCGTAGCACATTATCCTTTTACTTTCTTTTTCTTTTCCCATTTTTTTCTCCAGTCGTTGTACTTTCAACTGCACTTTTGTAATGCTTCACCTACTTGTAACTATACGCGCAACGGTGCACACGAAGTTACTCTCATTGAAAACGCAGCAAACGCAGGTTAGCTAGAGCGATTGTTACTTACAGAGGTTCAGGAGACTTGAGCGAGGACTTGAGAGCGTATGTAAGTGAGCTTGAGAGTTCCCGCATGTCCCGCCTGGAGCAGACACGTATATATGCGTGGGACTACGCAGGCGCGGAGCCACCGCGAGGCTCTAGCACGCATGCTGTGCTGAGTCTGACTGCACTAATACTAGATGCATATAATTATACTCGTTTGTAGTAGCGGATAAACTTCCCCAAAACCATTCCAGGTTTCATGACAGACAGCGTATTCAGACGACATTAGCATTCACACATAATATTATACGTCACTAAAGCTGGAGAGTGATGTTAGCTACTTGGATTGATTTGACTGAGGATATACATCCTATTACCAGTCCAGGGCCAATCGCTATCGTCAAGTGATATCCAAGTCGTTTTAGCCACGGAAAAATGTTGACAGTAGATGAAGTGGTGAAATAAGTGACGTAAACGATCATTGGAATTGGGAGGTGGAATTATTGAACATTAGGGATTTTTTTGCAAAAGTGTTCCTGTCTGTAGCTAAGCTACGTAATAGTGTTAATGAGAAAGAATATAGGATGTTTTAGAGAGGGACTGAAGAGTACTTTATTGACAAGGGGTAGCTGCAATGATTTCTTCATGACAGGCATGCATGGGGCTATTAAGAAGAGAGCTACTCTCCCAGTGATGTAGTTAGCTATCATTGGCTCTGGAACTGATGGGAGAGTTGACGAAGGAGGAAATCACTGGAAATAACAGGAGTTGCTACCTTCATTCAGCCGGAGAGATTATCTCCAGAGGTCTGTTAGGTTTACATACACTGCGGTCTATGGTAACAAGGACTATATAGGACAGTATATACCTAAGATCGATCTAGCCGTTCATCTCACGTTTTCCTGACTCTATTGTTCACTGCTTTTACAGGCTGAAATCGTCGGAGTAAGTACTGGTGTAGCGGCACACAGAAGGGGAAGACAGAGAAAGGCGCCGGAGCAAGTCCTTGTGAATACCACAACCCATGATGCATGCGGAATGCAATTGCAGTTTTCGGTTACTTGTTGCAGATCTGAACTGCATGCCAGTGCGCGGGGCGCGATCACGCATGCGCGAAACCCTTCCCACAAAAGTGGGTGGAAAAGTTGCGCTGCATCAGTTCAGGAAGTAAGCACTAAGTGAGCGGACTGTGTGTAACTAGCAGAATTAACTCTACCCCTTCACTGTCACTGCGGCTGTCCAAAGTTTCCGTAAGTCAAAAACTCTCCTACCGACTTATATTTGGCTTTAATCTTGCCAATCAGAATTTACTTGCTCGGAATAAAACAGCTAGGCCTAAGCTTATTGCATAAATATAAGTAAAACAATTATCTTGAGCTTGTTTAAGGGTGATTTCTTTGTTTATAAATGGGTGTGTTAGACTGTACGGTACCAAACATTGGGTGTGATAGTTTTGATGTGATACAACACACTGAGTGTGTTGAATTTGATAGCAGCAAATAGTGGGTGTGTTACTTTTGATGGTACAAAACATTGGGGGGGTGTGTTAGATTTGTAGGTATAAAACACTGAGTGTCCTTATATTGATAGTAGGTGTGATACTATGAAACACAGTGTGTTGAATTTGATAGCAGCATACAGTGGGTGTGTTAGATTTGTTACAAAACACTGAGTGTGTTAAAATCATAGCAGCATACAGTGGGTGTGTTAGTTTTGATGATACAACACATGTGTTGAATTTGATAGCAGCAAATAGTGGGTGTGTTAGTTTTGATGGCACAAACATTGGGTGTGTTAGATTTGAAGGTATAAAACACTGAGTGTCCTTAAATTGATAGTAGGTGTGTTAGTTTTCATACTATGAAACACAGTGTGTTGAATTTCATAGCAGCATGCAGTTGGCATGTTAGTCTGTATGGTATGAAACAGTAATGTGTTTGATTTGATAGTAGCAAAAAGTGGGTGTGTTAGATTTGTTACAAAACACTGAGTGTGTTAAAATTCATAGCAGCATACAGTGGGTGTGTTAGTTTTGATGGTAAAACACACAGAGTGTGTTGAATTTGATAGCAGCAAATAGTGGGTGTGTTAGTTTTGATGGCACAAACATTGGGTGTGTTAGATTTGAAGGTATAAAACACTGAGTGTCCTTAAATTCATAGTAGGTGTGTTAGTTTTCATACTATGAAACACAGTGCGTTGAATTTCATAGCAGCATGGAGTTGGCATGTTAGTCTGTATGGTATGAAACAGTAATGTGTTTGATTTGATAGTAGCAAAAAGTTGGCGTGTCAGATTTGTTACAAAACACTGAGTGTGTTAAAATTCATAGCAGCATACAGTGGGTGTGTTAGTTTTGATGGTAAAACACACAGAGTGTGTTGAATTTGATAGCAGCAAATAGTGGGTGTGTTAGTTTTGATGGCACAAACATTGGGTGTGTTAGATTTTAAGGTATATAACACTGAGTGTCGTTAAATTGATGGTAGGTGTGTTAGTTTTGATACTATGAAACACAGTGTGTTGAATTTCATAGCAGCATGCAGTTGGCATGTTAGTCTGTATGGCACAAAACAGTAATGCGTTTGATTTGATAGTAGCAAAAAGTTGGCGTGTCAGATTTGTTACGAAACACTGAGTGTGTTAAAATTCATAGCAGCATACAGTGGGTGTGTTAGTTTTGATGGTACAACACGTGTTAAAATTCATAGCAGCATACAGTGGGTGTGTTAGTTTTGATGGTACAACACGTGTTAAAATTCATAGCAGCATACAGTGGGTGTGTTAGTTTTGATGGTAAAACACACAGAGTGTGTTGAATTTGATAGCAGCGTACAGTGGTTAGTTTTGATGGTAAGAAACTAATTTGATAGTAGCAAGCAGTTGGCATGTTAGATTTGAGCAAACAGTGGGTTTTCTTACCAGGAAAACATGTATGAATTTTATTCTCTATAAGCACATTCACAAGCAGTTTAGGAACACCCACTATTATTCACTCCCTACAGGTTTTTCTCAATGGCTGAGGTGACGTGTGACAAGTGTGACAAGTTTTACGTGGACCCTCGCATGCTGCTATGTCTCCATTCCTTCTGTCTCGAGTGTCTGGAGAAGGAACTGGAGACTCAGGAGACCCAGAGCAGTCTCCACTGCCCCAGCTGCAAGGAAAAGGTAACTCTAACCGAGAACGGAGTGTCTGATATCCCTCGAGACCTACATAAGGCTAACGAGGCCAATATTGCACGCATTCGCGAGAAAGTCGAAGACGCAGATGATTTTTGCGATAATTGCGGGAAAACTGATAGCACAGGGAAGGCAGTCGCATACTGCATCGAATGTGAAGATTACTTGTGCAAATTTTGTGAAGGGAAACATGGTAAAAGAAGAATAACAGCTGATCACAGCTTGATTACCATTGGTGATATGTCTGCCAAAGCATACACACCCACCTCGATGGGCAAGTTTTATCAACCACAAATGTTCTGCCAACAGCATAAAGCTCACCCTCTTGACACCTACTGCAAAGAATGCCAGGAATTAATCTGCATCGCTTGCATGAACTTTGACCATGACAAGCATCGCGAACAGTGCAAACACATCGAGAGAGTAGCAAAGGGAGAAATTGAAAGCCTTCAAGCTTATCAAGGGGACATAGAAACAGCAGTAGCTTCACTAGATACAGCTATAGCCAAATGTAAGGAGAACATAGAAAAGGTGGAGGCAAGGAAAAGGGAAGTAGATTCTGCCATCACCAACAGCTTGGAGCAGGCACGTAAGGCTCTTCTCACACAAACCGAGGCAATTCGCTTTAGCAAACGAGCAGGTCTTGAAGCACAAGTGGATCAGCTTCAGAGGGTACGCGATGGTCTGTCATTTGCCTTCAAGATGATAGCTGACACCCAGTCCCACAGTCCTGCTCACCTGCTATCTACAAAAAGTGTCCTAGCAGAGAGAACAGAAAATATGCAAAGGGAATATCAAGTTTCCAACTTGTCTCCATCCCAGAGTTCCAAATTTTTAACTGATATTTCCGACCAGCCTATTATCAACAAGATAATTAGCCTGGGCTGGGTAATATGTGGGGGGCATCCCGCCTCTAGCACTTGCAATGCTGGGTATTTGCCACGTGCAGTTGTAGGTGTACCACGTACCATCAAGGTGGTAGCCCATGACAAGCAGGGGAAAGCACTTGATAAAGGAGGAGATGAGGTGGCAGCTAAGCTTGTTCAAACAGTCTCCCAATATCCCCCTATCACCGGTGAGACTATTGACCATGGCGACGGCACCTACTCTGTGTCCGTCACCCCAGAGGCAGTCGGGGAGCATGAGTTGCATGTGACTCTTGATGGCCTCCATGTAAACGGCAGTCCCTTTAAGTATAGCATCACAAATCCCAGAGCACCTGCTTATACTGCATTGTCTGCTCAGTATCCCAGCATTAGCACCAGCACTCCATACGATGTGGCATTAACAGAGGAGGGACATCTTGCAGTAGCAGAGTATGGCTGTCACACTGTCTCCTTGTACTCTGTGACAGGCCAGAAGATTCATCCCTTTGGTACAGCAAACAGTTATGGGAGTGGAGATGAACAGTTCTATAATCCATCAGCTGTAGCCATCAGAGGCGACCTAATGTACGTCTGTGAACAGACCAACAATAGAGTCCAGAAGTTTAGCATTAAACAGAGAGCTTTTATTTCCAAGTTTGGCACAAGTGGAGGAGGTAACAATCAGTTTTTAAATCCTCGCGGTATTTGCATTGATCCTGAAGGAAAGGTGTTCATAGCTGACTATGGAAACAATCGTATCCAAGTCTTCAATAAAGATGATAGTTTTGCCTATTCCATCCCCTGCCAGGGCAACCCCTGGGGATTAGCTTTTGATCTTCAGGGACATCTTCATGTTGCTGCAAGGAGCTTAAACTGCATCAATGTCTTCATACCAGATGGAACTCTAGTCACTAGCTATGGTAGTGGGACTATCAGTACACCTGCTGGCATTGCCATTGATGCTGAAGGCTACATTGCCATTGGTGAGAATGGTGGATATAATCGTCTCTGGATCTACAATCCTGACCACACACCTGTACACACATTGTCTAACCAATTCAATGGCGGTGGTAATGGAATTGCTTGTGATGAAAACAACTCTTTTTGGGTGGCTGACTACGGCTACAACCGCTTTGTCAAATACTGATATATAGGAAACTCTGACACAGAAACACACAAACTTGTATAACGAGCACAGCAACAATTTCGGATATTTACAGAATACCAGTACGCTACTTACACCAAACAATACTTGGAAAACCACTGAAGCATCTTTAAGATAAACGATAAACCTAACGCTGAATAATATGTAGCTATCTCACTTTACATTATGTAGCAATTTTTTTTTTAAGTCAGAGAAACAGCAGCAGTGTGTAGCACAGAGCGATAAAACTGTATTTTGCATAAACCTGCCCTCTAGCAGTACATTAAACCATTAACTCAACCTCACTTGAAAAAACTGCCCTGTTGTTGCAACTTCGAGCCTTATGTTACCCAACCCAGGAAATTTTCTCTTCAATAGTGAGTGTCTCATACACTTTCGCTACTTCCGAAGACTCTACATGTTTGAAAATGTAATGAGGAGTGTCTTACCGTTTCTGAATTCAAGAACCAAACTGTTACCGTTACATCTAATGGTGCCAGAACAAAGGTGGACAAAGATGACTCCTGGGCAGCCAGTCACATCATGCATATGCGTGCCACATGCACATGAGGGCCTAAGAGGGTATGAGCGCATGAGCATGTTGTGCGTGGGCGATACACCTAAAATGATGTGGAAGGAATGGCGCAATCGTATAAATCTACTCAGCGTAAAGCGTGGCATTGCGGCAAGTTTTTGTAGCGAGCCGTGCGTCCTAATAAGTGTGTTGAGAATCAAGCTAAGAAGATCCCCCCTTTTTTTTACCGCAATTGCACATTGTTTATCCAGCTATTGGTATAATAGTTACCTAGCTATAGCCGATGTGGTTGCAAAGCCGTGCTCCCTCACAAGAGTAAGGGATTGAAGGTAGTCAGGGAAATCAGGGGAGTCAAGGGATCAGGGAGACCGGGGTAGTCAAGTGGCCATGGGGTCAGGGGATCAATGGAGGAAACAAATAAGTAGGAATAAAAAGACACACAGGAATTATGGAAAGAAAAAGGGATATTTCAAGTTATAGCAAAAGGCATGTTGTTATGGCATAATTTCGTGTAACGGAGAATATGTGGTTGCAGCAATTTTTAACATCACTTATCATTCTAGTTGTCAGATAATGAAAAGCGCTAAAGTGCAAACCCTCGGCGAACTGCGCATGCGCGCGATACTGCTAATTGATGGGCTGGGCTATTCATACGTTTACTCCGTGGTCTCCCGCTAGTATATAGCTCGCGGAGAGTCTGACACTGGCTAGCTACAGCATGCGGGAGTCGATACACGCCATTCGTTGTGACTTCCTGAGCCACCAAGGTACACAGGAGCCGGAGCGGATCAGGTCGCGGTAAGCTCAGTGCTATTATGCATATTGGCTTTTTCACTTGTTTTCACGGCATATCTCTCGAACGCAGTCGTTTCAGGGAAATCGCCTAATAATTTTCAGGTTCGGGTAGTTATGAAGCCTTTGGTATCGCTCATTCGCCACCCCGTAGCCTGTAGTGCCAGAATAAGCGTCGACACACAGACAGACAGACAGACAGACAGACAGACAAACCAACAACTACCCTGACTAACCCTCGCTGCGCATGCACGCCGAGGGTTAACTAGGGTGATGATAAAAATAGATAATATAGATTTTATGCGGGGAAGTATTTTAACTCACATTTCCATTTATGGCAACGGCAGAGACCAAATCACATAGAATATGAAAAGCACTACAGTGCAAAACCCTCGGCGAACTGCGCATGCATTGTTGGGCTGGGCATTTACTCGTGGTTTCCCGCTGGTAGCTCGGGGAGAGTCTGGGTACAATAGTAGATAGCATGCGAGAGTCGATAAATGCCCTTCGTTGTGACTTCTTGTGCCTCCAAGAGCGAGCGCAGGGCTACCTACCCTACCTACCTACCTATACATGTCCCCCAAGACCTCATATTCACCTTCAGTCGTCCACGAGAGAATTCGCTCTTACGCGATTTCACGATTTTCGTGTCATAATTATTCTTCTTCTTCTTCTTCTTTAAACCCGCTATCTCCTTACCAGTACCAGTTCAAGCACTGATTTTTTCACTGAAGGTCTCCAATTTCGCCGGAGGTGTGCACGGACATCAAGCGATCGTTTCTTTCTTGCCGCTAGTCACTACGGTAGATCGTGGAGCTCTTCAAACTGAGAACGCCATTTGCTGCACCAGTGAACCGCGCGCATGCGCCAGGCGGGGGCGTTGTCCAATGCGCTTGCGTGCGTATTCTACCAGGCGAGTTGGCAGACCTGCAGAGGAACTCTCAGCCTCCCAGTACCTTCTGTAAGTAAGTGTGTACATTTCCAACTGGCTAGCTCGCTGTTGGTTTGCACGAAGAGCAACTAGCCAGAGTCTGCGCTGTGTTACGCGAGCCGCGGGGCACTCAGTCAAATGGGCCTTCATTGTTTGTCCCCCCAGGTTGTAGCCTGTTTACCAAAGCCTGCCCGTGAAACCACAACCATGTGCAATAATCTAATTACATCCTTGTTGAAGACAAAACATGCTGTATCTAGCCCCTGCTTCAGGCACTAGCAGTCCCATTATAGCTACTACATTCAACAGTTACAATTTGTCATATCTACAACATAGCTACCCATGAACATCATAGTAAATGCAGTGTTGTCATTAGCTGTTAAAAATAGTGGAAACAAGTGGAAAAATCATTTCTTCAAAATGAAATGGGGATATAGGGATGGCTTGAAGCACCAAAAAGGAAGAAACAAGGGGTCATTATTACACAACAAAGTTGCACAAAGCTACATGACACCATCCCTATATCTTTGTTCGATATTAAACTTTGCTTATAAACAATAAAACAAAGATATAGGGATGGTGTCATGTAGCTTTGTGCAACTTTGCTGTGTAAAATGACCCCTTGTTTCTTCCTTTTTGGTGCTTCAAGCCATCCCTATATCCCCCTTTCATTTTGAAGAAATGATTTTTCCACTTGTATTCATAACAGTGCAAAACCTCTTTACCTCTGTGGTTGTGAAAGCATTGTAGTCACTTAGTGTATAAACCACAGACTGCTTCTTCATTTGACTCCCCCCCAAACCTAGACAACATATCCTGAGAATTCCTGAAATGTGACTAATCAAAATGTTAAAATCATTATGTTCATACAATAATCTAAGACTGTTCGTGCATGTGCTTCGGCAATGGCATTTTACATCGATGAAATAGGTCACAGTTTGGTTTGAAAAAACATTGCTTCCCCATCAGAAGTGCATTCAGTGTTGACATGGCCAGACTATTTCTGTGTTTACTCTTACGAGATTTTGCCTACCTCAGCCAGTCACAGAACAAGTGCCTGAAGCATTGCAGCATGAAATTGAGTAACGAAATGACACTCTCACTATTGTTTGGCATTGTGAAGTTAATTTGCGAGGCCTACCAGGTTATGCTTCTACCTGTCTTTCTCCCTCAAACGTTGTGGCTGTGGTGCTGTATGGGTAGCTAATAATTATAGTGTGTCCATGTGTACAGTAGTGTTTTAAAAGGAGCTACACTCTGAGATAGGAGGAGTCAGATTCCAAACATTCTGCTGACTAAATCACCAAACTTTGGTCTCTTGAGGAGGATCTAACAACCAACACCATCCCATAGTGTTCAAGCTGCAGAGGAATATCAAAGCCTGTATAATTATAGCTGCTTGGTACTTATAGTAAGCTACCCCAGCACAAGTTGGTCTATTGTGTTATCTAAAGTAACAAGCCCATTTCACAGAAGGTAAAAATATATTCTTGCCGTAAAATCTTCCTGTTAGCTACAACCCTTTAAATCAGTGCTTTGCACGTGTACAGAAAGCCACATTGCAACAAGCTACCTTCCTCTCCCCAATCCTATGCAGTCGTGGGAAAGCTGCTGTTTGTGCCCCTGGTGAGAGAGGTCATAGCTACATACATTTTCATTGGAGCAGGCGGTATTGGAGATCTCTTCAATGGGTGTTCACAATGGAGTTCAGCTAGAGCAGAGTCATGACATGATAGTCCAGTGTAGGGAACTTTTGAACACTTCCCAACATGTCACTCCACATGACCCACTAGGAAGAAATCACTAGTTGTTACATAATAATGTACAACATAGACATTAACCCGCTAACAACATCAGTAGCCCTATTGGTTGTCAATACTCTCTGGAGTAATCCACCTGATAGCTAGGTACCATCTCCCCACCCTCACTCCTGCTGCGATGATAGTAGTTGGTGCCATACACATCCTCTGCCAACCCAAAGTCTGCCACTTTCATCACTCCATTATAGCTACCATCAATCCTGTAACAGCAAAACCAAAACACACAGCCATTGAACTATCATAAGCTGGCTATTTGCAAACAAATACTCACATGCAGTTCCTGGCTGCCACGGTCATGGTGGACACCCCTGTTCATGGCCAGGTAGCCCATTCCTCTGATGACATATTATGTCCAGACATTTCTCTCTAGCATTGGACACCTGTTAATCATTATGTAACCAACTATTCTAGTATGTTCGATCTAACTGTATCCTACACAAATGTACACTTACTTCTGTCATCAATTAATGTATATAAACTAATCGTCTTAAAATGGATGAAAGGAAGGTTGGCTGGAAGCTTCATATATAAGACACATGACTACACTTCCTGCCTTATAAATCTCACAGTAAACTTACAAACAACATATAATTATACAGGAGACTTTAACACGGAAAAGTTAAGAGTCTCGCTGCTTTGAGTGACACAGTCCAATAGACTGCCACCAGACATGAATGGCATAATGAGTAGGGGCACTCTCAAGGCACATCCCAATCAGCGGTGGTCGAGTGAGATCATTGAACACATTTTCTTTATGAAGACTCTCCCTACTACCCACTGACAACACAGCTGAGAGTATTGCAAGTTACAAATTTCAGCCAAACGTTACTATCTGCTACCTATAGCTAGTCCAGTCAACTTTCTTCCTCTCTTTTTTAACTTATCACGATCCTTTCACCCTAGCAGGAGTGAGATTATAATCTGAGGTCTACCAGAATAAGGCTTATGTAGAGGAAATATTTCCATCAATGCCTAAGCTCTGGAGCACTGCAATAACCCTGAACCAGCACTTGCTACCCTATTGACTGTTTATTTGAAACTATGTATTTTCTTTGTAGCTTTTGATAGATCAGGGATAATAGGCAGTGTGTGTGCACTGGACAAGCTTTGTTGCCTACTAGTAAAAGAACAATATATTATATTATATAGAATAGTGTACCACTCTAATCGTACCGGCAATGGCATGGAATGGAACGTGCTGAGAAATGGCATCGAATAGAACGTGCTGAGAAATGATGGGAGGGTTGACAAAGGGGCGGATAACTGGAAGAAAACGGGGATAGGGATGACACAGGAGAGAGTTTGGTAAAGAAGGGAGTGGTGTCGATGATGAAAATCTGTGTGGTAGTGTTTTTCCTTTACCGCTCTGTATATAGTAGCTAGCAACCTTCCTTCAGCCGGAGGGATTGATTCCAGGGGTGCTCCCAGTCTGTCAGGTTTCATACACTGCAGTCCATGGTAACAAGGACGAGGACAGTAGATCGGTCTGGGTGTCCGTCTCACGTTTCTACTGACTAGTAGCTAGCTACTGTTCACTAATCGCCGGAGTGCTGATGGTAGCGGCAGACAGGAAAGGAAGACAGAGCAAAGCCGGAGCAAGTTCCTGTGAATACTACCACCCAAGATGCAAGCGTTAAGCTATTGCATTTTCCACTCATAAATTCAGCGTTTCGGTTTGCAGGCCAGACCGCCAGCGCAGCGCGGAGGAGCGCGATCACGCATGCGCAAAACGCTTCCCACAAAAAGTGATTGCGCTGCAGCAAGTAAGCACTGAGCGGGCGGACTGTGTATAACTGGAAGGCGAATAGGAAGAAAATTACTCTACTCCTTCTCTTTTGTTTACTGTCACTGCTAGCCTCCGTAAGTCAAACTCTACGCTTAGCTAGCTACCCACTTTTGTTCTGCTGTAATCTTGCCAATCACACAATTTGCTTAACAGCTAGGCTGAAGCTTATGGCATATGGTAGGCTGAAGCATGGCATAATAATGAGTAAAACAATAACCTTGTGAGCTTATTTTAGGGTGATTTTCTTTGTTTGGCACTTACCAAAGTAAATGGGTGTGTTGGATGATCTAGGTATCAAACATAGATGTGATGGTACCAAGCTTTTGGTGTGGTAGACTGGATGGTAGCTATTAGATATTGAGTGTGTTAGATTTGACAGCAGCAAGCCGTTTTTGTGTTAGATGAATTTTTATAGTAGCAGACAGTGAGGGTGTTAGATTTGATTGTATGAAACTTTGGGCGTGTTGGTACAAAACATTTGGTGTTCAGCATACAGTAGGTGTTAGATATGATGGTATGAAACACTGAGTGTTGTTGAATTTGATAGCAGCATACAGAGGATGGAAATAGTGGGTGTTTTAGAAGGTATTTCAAACATTGGGTGTGGTAGATTTGATGGTATGAAACACTCAGTGTTGTTGAATTTGATAGCAGCAAACAGAGGGTGTGGTTGGACAAAACATTTGGTGTGTTCAGCATACAATAGGTGTTAGATTTTATGGTTCGAAACACTGAGTGTGTTGAATTTGATAACAGCATACAGTGGGTATGTTAGACTGTGTGGTACCAAACATTTTGGTGTGTTAGATTTGATAGTAGCAAACAGTGGGAGTTAATAATTGATGTAGAGTAACTTATCAGCAAAAGAATTTGTTTACTACACATTCTTAGCAACACCCACTATCATTCACTCCCTACAGGTTTTTCTCAATGGCTGAGGTGACGTGTGACAAGTGTGACAAGTATTATGTGGACCCTCGCATGCTGCCATGTCTCCATTCCTTCTGTCTCGAGTGTCTGGAGAAGGAACTGGAGACTCAGGAGACCCAGAGCAGTCTCCACTGCCCCAGCTGCAAGGAAAAGGTAACTCTATCCGAGAACGGAGTATTTGATATCCCTCGAGACCTACATAAAGCTAACGGGGCCAATATTGCACGCATTCACGAGAAAGTGAAAGACGCAGATGAATATTGCGATAATTGCGGGAGAACTGATAGCACAGGGAAGGCGGTCGCATACTGCATCGAATGTGAAGGTTACTTGTGCAAATTTTGTGAAGGAAAACATGGTACGAGAAGAATATCAGCTGACCACAGCTCGATTACCATTGGTGATATAGCTGCCAAAGCATACACACCCACCTCAATGGGCAAGTTTTATCAACCACAAATGCTCTGCCAACAGCATAAAGCTCACCCTCTTGACACCTACTGCCAAAAATGCCAGAAAGTAATCTGCATGGCTTGCATGAACTTTGACCATGACAAGCATCGCGAAGAGTGCAAACACATCGAGAGAGTAGCAAAGGAAGAAATTGAAAGCCTTCAAGCTTATCAAGGGGACATAGAAACAGCAGTAGCTTCACTAGATACAGCTATAGCCAAGTGTAAGGAGACCATGGAGGAGGTGGAGGAAAGGAAAACTGAAGTAGATTCTGCCATCACCAACAGCTTGGAGCAGGCACGCAAGGCCCTTCTCACACAAAATGAGGCAATTCGCTTTAGCAAAAGAGCAGGTCTTGAAGCACAGTGGATCAGCTTCAGAGGTACGTGATGATCTGTCGCTTGCTTTCAGCATGATAGCTGACACCCGGTCCCACAGTCCTGCTCACCTGCTATCAACAAAAAGTGTCCTAGCAGAGAGAGCAGCAAAATTGCAAAAGGAATATGAAGTTTCATACTTGTCTCCATCTCAGAGTGCCGATATTGTTACTGATATTTCCGACCAGCCCATTATCAGCAAGATAATTAGCCTAGGCTTGGTAACAGTGGAGTGCATCCAGCCTCTAGCACTTGCAATGCTGGTATCTTTCATGTACAGTTGTAGGTATACAACGTACCATCAAGGTGATAGCCCATGACAAGCAGGGAAAAGCACTTGGTAAAGGTGGAGATGAGGTGGCAGCTAAGCTTGTTCAAACAGGCTCCCAGTCCAAAGGTCCTCCGATCACTGGCAAGACTATTGACCATGGGGATGGCACCTACTCTGTGTCCATCACGCCAGAGGCAGTAGGGGAATATGATGTACATGTGACTCTTATGACTGCCCTTTACAAGGTAGTCCCTTCAATGCAGTGTCACAAATACTGATCCCGCCTCTAGCACTTGCAATGCTGCATATTTGCCACGTGCAGTTGTAGGCACACCACGTACAATCAAGGTGGTAGCCAATGACAAGCAGGGAAAAGCACTTGGTAAAGGAGGAGATGAGGTGGCAGCTAAGCTGGTTCAAAAAGGCTCCAAAAGTCCCCCCTATCACTGGCAAGACAATTAACTATGGGGATGGCACCTACTCTGTGTCCGTCACACCAGAGGCAGTAGGGGAACATGAGTTTACATGTGACTCTTGCTGACTGCCATGTCAAAGGCAGTCCCTTTAAGTACAGCATAACAATCCCAGAGCACCTGCCTATACTGCATTGTCTGGTCACTATGGCAGCATTAGCGCTAGCTATCCCTATGATGTTGGCATTAACAGAGGAGGGACATTTTGCAGTAGCAGCATATAGCAGTAACACTGTCTCCTTGTATTCCGTGACAGGCCAGATAATTCATACCTTTGGTACAGCAAACAGTTATGGGAGTGGAGATGGACAGTTTCTATAATCCATCAGCTGTAGCCATCAGTGGTGACCTAATGTGCGTCTGTGAACACACCAACAGTAGAGTCCAGAAGTTTAGCATTAAGGGAGAGCTTTTATTTCCAAGTTTGGCACAAGTGGAGGAGGTAACAATCAGTTTTTTAAATCCTCGCGGTATTTGCATTGATCCCTGAGGAAAGGTGTTCATAGCTGACTATGGAAACATCGTATCCAAGTCTTCAATAAAGATGATAGTTTGCATATTCCATCTCCTGCCAGGGTACCCCCTGGGGACTAGCTTTTGATCTTCAAGGGACATCTTCATGTTGCTGCAAGTAGCTTAAACTGCATCCATGTCTTCACACCAGATGGAACTCTAGTCACTAGCTATGGTAGTGGGACTATCAACTCACCAGCAGGCATTGCCATCGATGCTCAAGGCTACAATTGCCATCAGTGAGAATGGGAGTCGTCCTGGATCTACAATCCTGACCACACACTTGTACACACATTGTCTAACCAGTTCGGAAGTGGTTTAGAATTGCTTGTGACAAAACAACTCTTTTTGGGTGGACTGACTTCGGCTACAACCGCTTGGTCAATACTGATAGGAAACTCTGACACAGAATCACACAAACTTGTATAACAAGCACACCAACAAGTTGGGACCAAATTTACAGAATACTAGTACACTACTTATACACCTGTAACAATACTTGGAAAACCAGTCTCTTTAAAATAAACGATAAACCTAACGCTGACTATGTATATAGCTATTTAACTTTGTATTTAACTATAACATTATGTACACAACATATTAAGCAAATTTTAATTTTGAAGTCAGAGAAACAGCAGCAGTGTACAACAGAGAATGACAAAAATATTATCTCGAAAGTATATATCAACCTGCCCTCGAGCAGTATATTTAACCATTTACTCGACCCCTCTCCCCAACCCCCCCAACCCCCACCAACCCCCCACCCCCCGAAAGAAACTGCCCTGTTGTTACATGTAAGTGCTGATAACCAGCGCAAGTGCGAGCTTTATGTTACCAAACACAGGAAATTTTCTCTTCAATAGTGAGTGTCTCATACACTTTCGCTACTTCCAAAGACTCTGTGTTTGAAAATGTAAAGAGGGGTGTCTTACGGTTTATGAATGCAAGAACCAAACTGTGACCCTTACATCTAATGGTGCCAGAACAAAGGTTTGGTGAACAAAGATGGCTCATGGGCAGCCAGTTACATCATGCATATGCGTGCCACACGCACATGAGATCCTAAGAGGGAATGAGCGCATGAGCATGTTGTGCGTGAGCGATACACCTAAAATGATGTGGAAGGAATGGCACAATCGTAATATAGTACTCAGCCTAAAGCGAGGCATTACGGCAAGTTTTTGTATGAGCCGTAGCTACCTAGAAGTGTTGAGAATCAAGCCAAGAATATCCCCCCTTTTTTACCAGAATTGCACAAGGTTTATCCTGCTATTGGTATTGTAGCCGTGCTCCCTCACAAGATTAATGGATTGAAGGCAGTCAGGGAAGTCAGGGGATCACGAGATTAGGGGTAGTCAAGTGGGCATGGGGTCAGGGGAGTTAATGGAGGAAACAAACAAGTAGGAATGAAAGGGGACACAGGGAAATTAGGGAAAGAAGAAAAGGAATATTTTAGGTTATAGAAAAAAGCATGTTGTTTTGGCATCATTTCATGTAACCAGGAATTTATGGTTGCAGCAATTTTAAACATTACATCATTCTAGCTGTCAGATAATTATGGTGACGATAAAAATATATGTTATGCGGGGAAGCATTAAACTCACGTTTCCATTGATTAAGCGTATGGCAATGGCGGAGGGCAAATCACATAGAAAAGAATGTGCATATTATTTTGCTATCTAAGATTGCTGACTTTCGGAATATTTATAACAGTGCAAAACCTCTTTACCTCTGTGGTTGCAAAAGCATTGTAGTTCACTTAGTGTACCACAGACTGCATCTTCATTTGACTCCCCTCCAAACCTAGTAACTGTCCTCTAACTCATAGCTTCAGCCACACGGTGGAAAGGTTTCAATAAGAGTGTAAGAGTGAAGGTTGCTTCTATTCAGATTCTACAACAGTGAACATGTTGTTTAAGGCAGTTTCACATAGCTGCTACTTAAAACACATTACATGCCTCTCGCAAATTCAGTGCTGCCAAATTATTTTGGACATATCCTAATGTGTAGTTGCATTATCCTGATATTTTATAAACAACTTATCCTGAGAATTCCTGAAATGTGACTAATCAAAATGTTAAAATCATTATGTTCATACAATAGTCTAAGACTGTTCCTGTGCTTCGGCAATGGCATTTTTGCATCGATGAATTAGGTCACTGTTTGGTTTGAATTCGAAACAACTTTGCTTCATGTTGAACTGCACCATCAGAAGTGCATTCAGTGTTGACATGGCCAGACTATTTCTGTGTTTAGTCTTACGAGATTTTGCCTACCTCAGCCAGCCACAGAACAAGTGCCTGAAGCATTGCAGCATGATTCAAATTGAGTAAAGAAATTACACTCTCTCTATTTTCGTCCCTGTGAAGTTAATTTGCGAGGTCTACTTCTTAAAGGTTATGCTTCTACCTGTCTTTTTCCCTCCTGTAATCAAACATTCTTGTGGCTGTGGTGCTGTATGGGTAGCTAATTATAGTGTGTCCATGTGTACAGTAGTGCTTTAAAAGGAGCTACACTCTGAGAAGAGGAGTCAGAATCCAAACATTCTGCGGACTAAATCACCAAACTTTGGTCTCTTGAGGAGAATCTAACAACCAACACCATCCCATAGTGTCCAAGCTGCAGAGGCTATTCAGATTGTACAACAGTGAACATGTTGCTTATGGCAGTTTCACCTATATAGCTGCCGCTTAAAATACATTAGCATGGAATAATGGAAGAAGACCTCGGTCCTATTTTGTTGGTTTCCAGGGCCGAAGTAATGATTGAGAGGGACAGTTGGGGGCATTCGTATTTAATTGTCAGAGGTGAAATTCTCGGATTTATGAAAGACGAACAAGTGCGAAAGCATTTGCCAAGGATGTTTTCATTAATCAAGAACGAAAGTTGGGGGTTCGAAGACGATCAGATACCGTCGTAGTCCCAACCATAAACTAAAACATACTACTACAACACACGCCTGTTGCAATTTTTTGCCCACCTCAGCCTCACCTCATGCCTGAAGCATTGCAGCGTCATTGAAACTTAGTAAAGAAATGACACCCTCACTATTTTCAGCCCTGTGAAGTTAATTTGCGAGGCCTACTTCTTATAGGTTATGCTTCTACCTGTCTTTCTCCCTCCTGTAATCAAACATTCTTGTGGCTGTGGTGCTGTATGGGTAGCTGATTATAGTGTGTCCATGTGTACAATAGCACTCTGAGATGGGAAGAGTCAGAATTAAACAATCTCCTGACTAAATCACCAAACTTTGGTCTCTGTTGAGGATCTAACAACCAACACCATCACATCGTCTCAGAGCTGCAGAGGAAAATTAAAAGCACTGAAGTGCAAACCCTCGGCGAACTGCGCATGCGCGGAACCGTTAACGGACGGACCCGCAGTCTCCCGCTAGTAGCTCGCGGAGAGTCTGACACGGGCTAGCTACAGTAGTAGATAGCATGCGCGAGTCGATATACGCCCTTCGCTGTGGGTTCTTGTGCCTCCAAGGTACACAGAGCAAGCGGACCAGGTCGGGGTGAGCCATCATACAGCGTTGATCGCGTCTAATATACGCATGCGCACCGTTTATTGATGGGTTTGGCCACGGAACACGGTCCGCGACGGTGC